TAACAAGACTTCAATCTCCATGGTTTCCCATGATCAAATTTCCTTTGTCACCTACTTATAGTGCTGGTCTGGGAGTCTTTGTGTCAGCCTCTAGCACCACACTTCTTGATGGAACACCTGGCTTTGCCTTGCTGTTTTTCTATTCTTTTCCTTCCTACTCACTTTAAGAATTTCCTCAGCCAGGCATCGGTGGCTCACACCTGTAATCCTAGCTACTCAGGAAGCTAAGATCTGAGGATCCCAGTTCAAAGCCAGTCTGGGCAGGAAAGTCCATGAGATTCTTATCTCCAGAAAACTGGAAGTGGTGCTGTGACTCAAGTGGTAGAGTGCTTGCCTTGAGCTGAAGAGCTGAGGGACAATGCCCAAACCCAGAGTTCAAGCCCATGACCACCAAAAAGAAAAGATTTTCTCTTGCTTTGTCTGTCTTTGCATACCTTCCCCAATATTTCCTGGGATAAAACAGGCCAATATAAAGAAATACAGTGAGCTAGACATGGTGATGCATGTCCATAATCCCAGCTACTTGGCACATGGAGGAAGGAGTATTGTAGTTTGATGTCATCTTGTGCAAAAGCATGGGGCCATATTTGGTAAATAAACTAAAAAATCAGGGTGTAAGTGGTAGAGCACTTGCCTTGCAAGCACAAGGCCTTGGATTCAGTCTCCAGTGCCAGATGAGGTATTGGGGAGTGTAAGGGTCCCATTTTTTTTTTCCAGTCCTGGGGCTTGAACTCAGGGACTGGACAATGTCCCTGAGCATCTTTTGCTCAAGGCTAGCACTCTACCACTTGAGCCACAGCACCACTCTGGGTTTTTCTGTTTTATGTGGTATTGAGGAATCAAACCCAGGACTTCATGCATGCTAGGCAAGCATTCTACCACTAAGCCTCATTCCCAGCCCAAGAGTCCCATTTTGAAGTTGACCTTCCCATTCCTGACACTCATGGCTTTCCCCAAAGGTCAAGTTAGCTTTAAGTAGAGTTGTCAGCATCTAGTGGGCTGGTCTGTAATCATCACTGGAGCAAGGATTGGGTGGGGGACCTGCCAATCTTTCTGCATGTGGCTTATTCCAGGCTCCACCCCTTGACTTCACTGTTGTTCTTGGCTCCTTGGAGAGATCAGAGCCCATGTCACCTCTCTTTCTAGCTCCCAAGATGCTCCTCTTGCCTTATTCTGCCCTTCCCCCCCCCCCCCAGCCCTGCACCCCTCTCTGTCATGGGGCTTGAACCCAGGGCTTTGACACTGTCCTGAGCTCTTTTTGCTCAAGGTTAGCACCACTTCTAGTTAATTGGATATGAGTCTCATGGGGACGTTTCTGCCCCAGCTGACTTCAAACCATTATCCTCAGATCTCAGCCTCCTGCATGGCAGGGATTACAGGTGTAAGCCACTAGTGCCTGGCTCTCTTACATCTTTGACCATATGAACTTGGCCTGCTTTGCCAACTCCTCTTTTTCTGCTGGCCCAGTGAGGTGATAGCACCAAGACCTTTTCTCTCTTTACACTCCCTTGCCCCTCTTAAGGAATTGCATCCGTTCTGGGTGACCTTGCACCAGGGTGTAACTGCAGCTTTGTGGATAAGATTTCTTTTTCTTGCCTTTGAATGCACATTTCCTTGAATCTGTACCAGGAGACAGCTGCCAGGAAGGAATTTTATTAATAGATTTGCCTTTGAGTCTGGGAAATAAAGGGCACTTGCCTCTATATACTGCTGGATCCCCAAAGCATCCCATATTTTCACTGTGGCATTTTCATCTATAAATTATGGGGACTTTTTAATATGTTGCTGCCATCATTCCAGCTATTTCATATTACTGAATAGGTTTTTTTTAGTTTCAGTACTGAGTTTTGAATTCAGAATTGTGCTTGCTAGGTAGATACTCCACCATTTGAGCCCTAACCTATAATTTTGGGGGGTTTGGACACACGGCCTTGCACTGTTGCTTAGCTGTTTTGCTGAAGTCTGGCACTTTACCCCTTGAGCCATGCCCCTACTTCCAGTTTCTTGCTGGTTAATTGGAGACGAAAATCTTGCAGCTTTTTTTTCTGCCCAGGCTGGCTTTGAAGCTTGATCTTCAGATCTCAGCCTCCTGGGTAGCTGGGATTACAGGCATGGAACCACCATCACCTGGCTATTTTGGTATTCTCTACAATACAGATTTCCTTCAGGTATGATTTACACAATTCATGCAGTCCTTCTTTTGTACTAAAACTGCTTGTTACATTTCTTTTTTTTTCAATCTTCATTTGCAAAATTTCTCTTGGTCAGCAAATCACTATGATCCAGCATCCTGTGACATGGGCTCACTCTAAAAGCAGCTATGGAGTCTTGTATCCCATTTCCAAAGAGATCATGGTATAAAAGATGGTTGATCCTGACAACTGATCTTGCAATGGTAAAAAATCAACAAAAAAATCTGATACCACAGTTCCAGTTCCAGGGCCCCTGGGTGGTTTAGGAATGCTAAGAAGGCTCTCTTCCTCCCCCCCCCCCGCCCCCCGCCGACATATCAAAGATGATACAGTCCTTTTCAGTCTTGTTTTAGACTTAAACAGTGTCTTCTTCTATGGTGATTAAAAACTACAGGTGGAGCTGAGCACTGAGTAGCTGAGATCTGAGGATTGCTGTTCAAAGCCAGCATGGGCAGGAAAGTTCGTGAGACTCTAATCACCAGAAAACCAAAAGTAGCACTGTGGCTCAAGTGGTAGAGCACTTTTCTTGAGCTGAGGAGCTCAGGGACAGTGCCCAGGCCCAGAGTTCAAGCCCACAACTGACAGCAAAACAAAACAAAACCCTACAGGTGTTATATTTGTGTTTGGAGGTTTAGAAGAACAGAGTGGAAAGAGAAGTTGCCAGAAGCACATGATTTTCAGACACTGACTAAGCACTGTGTCAACCTGAGGAAAATATTTTTGTTGTTATTCTGGTGCCAGGGCTTGAACTCATGGCCTGGCATGTTCATTCTGCTTTTCTTTCTTTCTCCCTTCCTTCCTTCCTTTCTTTCTTTCTCCCTTTCTCCCTTCCTTTCTTTCTTTTTCCTCTCTCTCTCTCTCTCTCTTTTTTGTCGCTCATGGGGCTTGAACTCTGGGCCTGGACACTGCCCCTGAGCTCTTCAGCTCAAGGTGAGTATTCTACCACTTGAACCCACAAGCCACTTCTGTTTTCTGGTGGTTAACTGGAGAAAAGAGTCTCATGGACACTTAGGTGGCTGAGGTGAAGGTTCAAAGCCAGACTGAGAAGGAAAATCCATGAGACTCATCCCCGATTAAGCAGCAAAAAAACAGAAATGGAGCTACATCTCAAGTGGTACAGTACTAGCCTCGAGCTTAAATGCTTGGTACAGTAGCCAGGTTCTAAGTTCAAGCCCCAGGACTGGCACCAGAAGAAAGTAAGGCTAGCAGCCTGGTACTTACATGGTAGAGTGAGTTCAAACCACAAAAACAAATGAATGAACATACAAAAAAAAGCTGGCTGTGGAGGTGCGGGCCTGTAATCCCAACTAGGTCAGATGTAATCAGAAGGTGACTCCCAGGAAAAGTGAGCTCTTACTAGAAAAATAAAGTAAAAAGGATTGTGGGCATGGCTCAAGTAGCAGATGTTTCAAGACCCAATACTTCCCACCTCCCCAAAAGAAATCTGTCAAGGAACTGTGATTTGGGAGGGTGAAATGGCATCTTTTTCACTTTTGATAGTATGACACTTTGGCAAGGAGAACATATTGTGTCTCAGATATTTTTTAAAAAACAATAAAGGCAACTCAGGCCAGGCGCTGGTGGCTCACGCCTATAATCCTAGCTGCTCAGGAGGCTGAGATCTAAGGATTGTGGTTCAAAGCTAGCCTGGGCAGGAAAGTCCATAAGGCTCTTATTTCCAGTTAACCACCAGAAAACTAGCAGTGGCACTGTGGCTCAAGTGCTCACATTGAGCTGAAGAGATGAAGGATAGTGCCCAGGCCCAGAGTTCAAGCCCCATGACCACCACCACCACCACCAAGAACAACAACAACAAAAAAACCCCGAAAATAATGAAGGCAACCCAGAACAAAATGCACACACTAAATGTGGGATGGGTCCCATCTATAATTAATCTTCTCTGGTCCCAACACATCTTTAGATTTCTTGTTCGAAAATTCAAGAAGGCCTTGAGTATAATGCATTCAGAAAGTTGGTTTCTAGCTTAGTAAAATTCTAGGTCAGTCCCTCCTCTTCAGGAAAAAGAAAGGCGATCAAGAAGCCAGGTTGAGTAGCAAAGACAAACAAGATGAAGGCTTTGAGGCCTGTTGTTTGGAGATCAGACATTTCCCCTTTCAAAAGGCCAGGCCTGGCTCAGATTTTCAGAAACATCAAGAATAGACCGTCGTTGTTAGCGGCTTCCAAGGCGTTCAGAACAAAGCAACACCCCACAGAGGCCTTCTCGGTGCTATGTTTAGAAACAGCTCTTCTCACTCTAAGCCTGGCTATCATCAAAACAGCCTTCCCTTTTATTTTTAAGGCTTATGGTCAAGCACTGGTCATTGCCCTTCCCTCACCCAGCCGGAGGTGGTGTTCACAGAGCCTCACATAGACAAGAGGAGCAGGAGCACGCGTGGGAAGATTCTGGATAGGTTAAGAGAAATCCCAGTGGTGTGCAGGCTGCTTGCAAACTTTACCCACCATGAAGACACAATAGTTGAGTAGCTTAAGCGCGGATGCTCCTTATGGCCCGGACCACGGGCTAAACTCAGCGGGTGTGGTGATGAATACCTCTAATCCCCTCACTAGGGAGACTGAGGCAGGAACGATCTCAAGTTCCAGGACAATCCGGATTACACAGACTCCCGTTTAAAAAAAAAAAAGCAAAACAACAACAAAACTCAAAACCCCCAAACCGGGAAAAACAAACCAAACCAAACACCCGCGGCGGAACAACAAAAACTGTCACAGCTCCCTGGACCGGTACCTGCATCTACGTCCGCCGGAAGTGCGGCTTGTTAGAGTCGCCGCGATGACGTCACAGGCACGCCGGAAGTCTCCCGCAGGTCTTCAAGGCTCCGTGCTGCGGGCGGTTCGCGGATCTGTGAGTTAGGCTTTCGTCGCCCGGGGCCGTTCGCATTCTCTGTCCGAACCTATTTTGTGTTGTGGCCACAGTGCTACTGGGGGGGGAGGGCTGGGGTCCCCCGTGTTCACGCCCGGGTGTCCTACAGCTCCTCCCCGCTCCTCTGAGCCTGCGGTCCATTAGCCTCCTCTGTCTTCTCCACTCTATCCTCAAGCCGCCGCACCCCCAGCCTCCAGTTTTTCCAGATAGAAAGCTCTGGCTATGCCCAGATAAAGAGTAGCCTGGGGCAGGTCCACAGGTCCCAGGATGGGCGGTCATGGATTAGGATGAGTACAGGCACAGGGAGATTAGACCCGAGGCTACCACACCAGGCGTGTTTCTATCCGTTAGCTGTTTCCCAGGAAGACTTACGACTGTCCACGCTACGGGGATCCAAGTTCCCCTACTCCTGGACTGGGGATGTAGTTCATTGGTAGAGTGCATGTTTTGCATTCTCAAAGCACTGAATTTGACTCCCAGCACAGTAAGAAAACCAGACCCCCTTACTTCCAAATCCTTCTCCACAATGTATTTCCCAGAGAACTCCGGTCTTACTGTGTTTTGAACTGATTTGTCTGTGCACCAGATCCAGCCTCCTGGTGGAACCATGTCTCCTGCAGCTGGGGGTGTGCCTGGAACACTTTGCCGCCCAAGAGGAGTTGCTGTCTGAATTCTCCATGAATTTTGGCAAAAAGGAATGGTAGAGCTGCGGGCTGAAAATGTATCCAACCTAGAGGAAGATGTAGGCGGGAGAGCTTGCATCCCCTCGTGAGAATCGCTGCTCTTTGTACGGAGTCATGAATACTTTCTACTTTCATTATCTCAGTTGGAATTCTGGCACAGTAGCCTGTCCACGAAGGTTCAATGTAACCAGTTCCACTTCCTTAGCACAGACCTACATATTAACTCTTGATTCTTCGGAGTTATTTTCATTTGTGGCCCCAGGCCAGGAGAGAGGCTTCATAACATGTCTCTGCCTAATTCTGTGTGGCTAATCTTGGATTCATGGCCTCTGATTGCCTCTAAGAAGTGCTTCCAATGAGGCAGCAGGTTCTTTTTTCTTTTCTTTTCTTTTTCTTTTTTTGCATGGTAGGGTCTTGCTACTTAGCCCAGGCTAGCCTAGAACTTGCTATATACAGCATGCTCCCTTCAAACTCCCAGTCTTCCTGTCTCACCCTCCTAAGTGCTGGGATTATAGTTTGTAGCACTGTACTCAGCTGAGGGCAGCAGATTCTTTTGAATCTTTTCTCTGTTAGTGAGTATGGGAATATTTAAGGATGTATTATTAAAGGATGTAATATTAAAGGATGTTACTGTGGATTCATTTCCTTCCTTGTTTTATCTTGGAATTTACGGGCAGGAGATGTCCCAAAAGCAGACCGCAGTGTTCATCTTGAAAGAGAGCTCATAACCATCTCTGGGGCCACACTGAGAAACAGTTTGGCTCTGTGGTATGTACATAAGGACCACTCATTTCTTTTTCTTTTTTTTGGTCAGTCGTGGGGCTTGAACTCTGGGCTTGGGCGCTGTAGGACCACTCATTTCTTGAGAGAGTTGTTATCAAAGAATATGTGCTATAGAAGTAATGCCATAAGTGAATGTTATAATTTTATTGAGCTGCACTACATATGCATTCTGTTCTTTTGCAGTCTCCCAGGATGGACTTCTTGGTTCTCTTCTTGTGGTACCTGACTTTTATACTGGTTACTGTAATTCTGATCTGCATCTGCTCAAAAACCCCTCGTTTGAAAGGCCTGGCCCAGGAAGGAGCACAGGTAATGATGATCCTTAGATACCACTGACATTGGATGACTTTATTAATGTAAAAGCTTCACCTAATAAGATTAAGAACAAAAACAACAACAACAACAAAAAACCCACTGGGTGCCAGTGGCTCATGCCTGAAATCCTAGCTACTCAGTAGGCTGAGATCTGAGGATCATGGTTTGAAGTCAGTCCAGGCAGAGAAGTCTTATCTCCCAATTAAAAAAAAGACAAGAATTCATTTACTTATTTATTTAGAGGTGATGTCTCTCTCTGTTTCTCAGGCTGGCCTCAAACCTTTTTTTTTTTTTTCTCTTTTTTTCTGCCTGTGCTGGAGTGTGAACTCAGGGTCTGAGCACTGTCCCTGAGCTCTTTTTGCTCAAGGCTAGTGCTCTACCACTTGAGCCACAGCACCACTTCTTACTTTTTCTACTGAGGAATGGAACCCAGAGCTGTATGCACGCTAGGCAAGCATGCTACCACTAAGCCACATTCCTAGCCCCTGGCCTCAAACCCTTGATCCTCCTGCCCCAGTGCTGGGACTGCAAGCGAATGCTACCATACCTGGCCAGGTGATGGCAGTTAAATTTATTGGTTTACTTAGTCCTTCATTTATGGCTGTTGTGGTGTATTTGATGTTTATGTTACTGCGGAGAGTTAGTAGTGATTTGAAACAAGGTCGCATTCTTGAGGTTGGCTCTTTAGCTCTGAACAGAAGTGCCTGGGAGTGAAACTGGTGGAAATGGGAGCAGAAAGCTGAGTACTGGGCTTCAGGGATCAGGCAGCAAAATTGGGGCAAGTAACCCATGGGAAGAGGTTGACTTAGTTTTCTGTTAAAATTTTATTGAATAAGGGGCTGGGAAGGTGGCTTAGTGGTAGAGCGCTTGTCTTGCATGCCTGAGGCCCTGGGTTCGATTCCCAGCACCACATAAGCAAAAAGAAAAAAGCCGGAAGTGGCGCTGTGGCTCAAGTGGTAGAGCGCTAGCCTTGAGCTGAAGAGCTGAGGGACAGTGCCCAGGCCCAGAGTTCAGGCCCCACGACCGGACCCAAAAAACAAACAAACAAAAAAAAAAATTTTATTGAATAAGCTATCTATTCCTTTAATTTCTATCTGTTCTTTTTCCTTTTGTCAGCCAGGGGACTTGAACTGAGGCCTGGGTGCTAGCCCTGAGCTCTTTTACTCAAGGCTGGTGCTCTACTACTTTGAGCCACAGCTCCACTTCTGGTTTTCTGGTGGTTAAGTGGATATAAGAGTCTCACAGACTTTCCTGCCAGGTCTGGCTTTGAACTGTGATCTTAGATCTCAGCCTCCTGAGCAGCTAGGATTACAGGCGTGAGCTACTGGTTCATGGCTCTTATAACTAATTTATACCAAACTTCTGTGGGAAAGTGTCCTCTGAATCCCTGAGTCTTGATGTTTCATTGTTCACAGATCTCTTTGCTTGGGATTAAGACTTGAAGGATTTAGACTTTTCCTGCCATGAGAGTTGGCAATCCATCCATTGCCAGGATTCTGTCCTACCTTGCACTAGAGTCTTCAGCATCGACCTGACCCCCATGGAGTTAGGGATGGGTTTGGAGCTCCTTGATGCTTCTTTTCTGCCAGATTTGACTCCCTGGTTTGCTCAGCACCACCACCTCCTTTGTGGGTCCTGGTTCTCTTCCCATATTTTCCTCTCTTCAGAATCTCTTCTGTGTTATCAGAATGTTCTCATTCATGGAGTGGAAACAGAAGATGCTTCTAATGTGCCATCTTGTCCCAGTTCTGAGGAGGTTGATTTAGAAGGGATCTGGATTACCATCCAGTGATGACTCCATTGAACATGGGGTCAAATCCAGTGGAGGGGAAGGAGAGGAGCAGCCTTCACATCAGCATCCCCCGAGCATCTTGCCTGCTTTTCAGTGCCACCTTTGGGGTTTGAGTAGAAGTGGAGGAGCTGGCCTCAACATGGGCCAGTAAGTCCTTGTTCTTTACTGTCCTTCATTCTCTCTGCCCATGTATGGACAGAACTTACACTCATGACAGTGCCAGGGGGGTGTGCAGATCTAATTTGTTTGGAAGTAAGGAGAATAAAAAGTAGAACTGAAGCCAGGTGCTGGTGGCTCACGCCAGTAGTAATCCTAGCTACTCAGGAGGCTGAGATCTGAGGAACGGGGTTCAAAGCTAGCCCAGGTAGGAAAGTCTGTGAAACTCTTCTCTCCAATAAACCACCAGAAAACCGGAAGTGGTGCTGTAACTCAAGTGGTAGAGCGCTAGCCTTGAGCTGAAGAGCTGAGGGACAGCACCCACACCCAGAGTTCAAGCCCCATGACCGACCAAAAAAAAAAAAAGAAGTAGAACTGAGCTTTTTTCTTTCATTTCAGCTATGTTCCTGTGTGTTCCCAAAGTGCCTTCAGAGAGCCACACAGAGATTTTTCCATTACCTCTTCCACACACGGTACTTAAACATTCAGAGTTCTTTTTTAATAATTGTTGCTGCTTATAGCTTCAGGAAGCTGTGGTTTTCAGTGTAGTGACGGGAAGGGTGCTAGCAGGGGTGGGAGCTCTGGGCTTGGGGCCTCCACTCACAAAGAGCCAGTCTGCCATTGGTCTCTGGGTTTTGAAATGTCTTTTTTTTTCTTTTTTTTGGGGGGTGAACTCAGGGCCTAGGTGCTGACCCTAAGCTTTTGTGCTTAGTGGGCCAGAGCTCCACTTCTGGCTTTTTTGGTGGTTAATTAGAATTAAGAGTCTCACAGATTTTCTTGCCTGGGCTGGCTTTGAATCTTGATCTTCAGATCTCAGCCTCCTGAGTAGCTAGGATTATAGCCATGAGCCACCAGCGCCACTGGGGCCCGCTTGAAATGTCTGCTTTTGAATGGAGATATTTAAAGAGTGGGAAAGTATTGAGACATACTCTGTAACATACCTGTGAAATGTTTCATTTTTTTCTTATTCACTCCTTAGTGGCAGTGGTTGCCTTGGTTACTTTCTTTTGTGTACTTTCTTCATGGGGCGGCCTTGGGAATAAGCGGCCCTTTGCTTCCTTCCAGCAACCACATCTTCATCGTGCTGCACCTGGTCTTGCAAGGGACAGTTTATGTGGAATACACCTGGGAAATCCTTGGCTACTGTCAAGACCTGGAGTTTTCTTTGTCTTACCTTCTTCTGCCCTATCTCTTGCTGATTGTCAACCTGGTTTTCTTCACCCTGACTTGTGTAACCAATCCTGGTGAGTCAAGGCGCTTGTCACAGGTTGGTGATAGTTCTGTCATCTTGCTGAGAGTGCTGGGAACAAGCAGTGTACATGGCAGTGTACATGTGCCATGTTTCCCAATCTCTCACTTTGAAGTGTTTCCTAGTTTTATGTTTATATTCCTAGTTTTTGATCCATAGGTTATTTAGTATCTTCCAATACACGATACATACATATATTCACAACAATTTATACCTATTACTGGGGTATGAACTCAGGGCCTTAGGGCCTCATGCTTGCTAGGCAAGCACTGTTGTCTTTGAGCCCTTTTTGTTTTAGTTATTTTTGGGAGAAGGTTTCATGTTTTTACTTTCTTGTATATACGATGACAGTCTACCACACCTAGCTATCGGGTGAAAAGGAGTCTTATGAGCTTTTTGTCCAGTTTAGACTCCATCTATGAGCCCCCATCTCTGCCTCCTGACTACCTAGGATTATAGGCATGAGCCATCATGCCTAGCTATTTATTTTTTGAGGCAGAATCTCTTTTTTGTATTTATTTTTTTGTCGGTCGTGGGGCTTGAACTCTGGGCTTGAGTGCTGTCCCTCAGTTCTTCAGCTCAAGGCGAGCACTCTACCACTTGAGCCACAGCACCACTTCTGGTTTTCTGGTGGTTTATTGGAAATAAGAGTTTCACGGACTTTCCTGCCTGGGCTGGCTTTGAACCCGGATCCTCAGATCTCAGCCTCCTGAGTAGCTAGGATTACAGGTGTGAACCACCAGTGCCCGGCTTTGAGGCAGAATCTTTCTCTGTGTCCCAGGCTGGCCTTGAATTCCTCCATCTACTTCCCTTCCTCCATCTACCTCCCAGGCTCTCGAGTTACATGACCAGCTTCAATCTTTTTTTTAAAGTTTTATCTTTTTTTTTTTGGGTCCGGTCGTGGGGCCTGAACTCTGTCCCTCAGCTCTTCAGCTCAAGTCTAGCGCTCTACCACTTGAGCCACAGTGCCACTTCTGGCTTTTTTCTTTTTGCTTATGTGGTACTGAGGAATCGAACCCAGGGCCTCAGGCATGCAAGGCAAGCGCTCTACCACTGAGCCACCTTCCTAACCCCAAATTTTATCTTTTTGATAGTTTGACTTAATTACATACACGTAGAACTATGGTCAGTATGATACCATTTCTCCTTTAACAATTTTTTAGACTTGCACTGCAGTTTTTATAAGTGATCTCTATTTGCTTGATTGCAGTTTTGTTTTCTAGTTCTTGGGTATAGAGAACCAAAAGTCCATTAACCAAGTTATTCATGTGTAATTTTTTACATCCATATGAGTTGTTTTGTCAATCACTTCCTGAGAGTGGTATGTGAAGCTGTTCTTTTTTTAAAATAATGTATATTAATTGTACAAAACAATGGATTTCATTATTATCATTCAGAGTTCTTGTAGCTTGTACCTCACTTCTTCTGAAACTGAAATGTATATTTGTATATTCTTTTTTTTTTTCTTCCAGTCCGAGCTTTTTCTCTCAAGGGTATTGTTGTACCACTGAGCCGCAGCTCCACTTCAGCTTCTTGGTGTTTAATTGAAGCTAAGAGTCTTACAAACTTTCTTGCTCGGCTGGCTTTCCAACCTTCAATCCTCAGATTTCAGTCTCCTGAGTAGCTAGGATTACAGGTGTGAGCCACTAGCACCTGTCTTATATATGCATATTCTTAGTAGGTATGTTCAAGATTAGAGTTAGTGTTACCTCTTCCTGGTAAACTGAGTTTCTCTCATAGTGTAGCACAGCTACTGCTGTTTTCATTCAGGTCTCTTTGCCTGATATTAATTGATTATACTTACTTTTGGCATATAATTGGTATTTTATTCCCTTTTTTTTTTATTTTTTATTTCCAAACTTTTTGGTGATTGAAGTGCTAAATGTCCATCAACTAAAAAATGAATAAATGTCATAATCTCATCCAATGGAATATTATTTAGCCATAAAAGAATGAAGAGCTGGGTGCCAGTGGCTCACATCTATAATCCTACCTACTCTGGAGGCTGAGATCTGAGGTTCGAGGTTCAAAGCCAGCCTGGGCAGGAAAGTCTGTGAGACTCTTATCTCCAATTAACCACCAGAAAACTGGAAGTGGCTCTGTGGCTCAAGTGGTAGAGCACTTGCCTTGAGCTGAAGAGCTGAGGGACAGTGCCCAGGCCCATAGTTCAACCCCATGACCCATTAAAAAAAAAAAAAAAAAATGAAGAGCTGTGAATATAGCTCAGTCGTAGAGCACTTTCCTAGCATGTGTGAAACATCAGGTTTAATTCCCAGCACCCCAAAACAAAATAAAAAAGGATTCACAGATTCATGTTACAATTTGAAGAACCATGGAAACATAATGGGTATAAGAACCCAGATATAGGGGGGTGGGGGGAGGATGGGAAGGGATGGGAAGGGGAAACAAAGGAGGAGGCTACAATGCTTGATAAGAAATGTACTCATTATCTTGCCCATGTAATTGTAACCCCTCTGTACAGTATTTGCACAATAAAAAATAAATATTAAAAAAAAAAAAAACCCAGATATAGCTGGGCACTGGTGGCTCATGCCTGTAATCCTATCTACTCAGGGGTTGAGTAACTAGACGTGAGTAGCTAGACTTTGCCCCAATGAAGTCCAAGACATGCTATCTCCAATTAACTAGAAAGAGCTTTGCCTTGAGCAAAAAAGCCAAGTGAAGCACAAGGCGGAGTTCAAGCCCCCAGCACTGGCACTTACAGGTAATACACAAAAAGAAGCTAGAAGTAAACACCCACAGATGAAAAAATTCCATCTATATGAAATATCCAGAAAAGACAAATCCATAGAGATAGAAAGCAGGTGACTTGTCTTCTGGCATCTAGGGCATTGGCGTGGAATGGCTGCTGACAGGATGGGAGGATGGTGATGGTGTTCTAATATGTCTCTGAAGATTCTGCACACCATATATAATTTATATTTAATGGGATTTGTGGGTCCCATCTCCTAAAGTAGTTGTAAAAAGTAAATGAAGCCGGGCGCCGGTGGCTTACGCCTGTAATCCTAGCTACTCAGGAGGCTGAGATCTGAGGATAGCCATTCAAAGCCAGCCTGGGCAGGAAAGTCAAGACTCTTATCTCCAATAAACCATTAGAAAACTGGAAGTGGTGCTGTGGCTCAAGTGGTAGAGCGCTTGCCTTGAGCTGAAGAGCACAGGGACAGCAGTCCAAGCCCAGAGTTCAAGCCCCACGACGGACAAAAAAAAAAAAAAAAGTAAATGACTTAGCTGGGCCAGGTGGCTCAAGCATGTAATCCTAGCTACTCAGGAGGCTGAGATTTGAGGTTTTCGGTTCAAAGCCAGTCTAGGCAGGAAAGTCTGTGAGACTCTTATTTCCAATAAACTACTCAGAAGACCAGAAGTAGCACTGTGGCTCAAGTGGTAGAGTGCTAGCATTGAGCTAAAGAACTGAGGGACAGTGCCCAAGCCCAGAGTTCAAGCCCCACAACCGACAAAAAACAAAACAAAAAGTAAATGACTTAAAATGCTTAATGTAGCTGTTTCAGTTGTGTTGCGTTGGGCAGGTGTTGTGAACATCAAGTGCACTACACTGTTTGAAAGTGATCTTTATCCTTTTTGCAGGCACCATCACAAAAGCAGATGAATTACTGTTTCTTCAAGTTTATGAATTTGATAATGTGATGTTTCCCCAGAATGCGAGGTGCTCTACCTGTGACTTACGGAAGCCAGCTCGGTCCAAGCACTGCCGTGAGTTAGCTGCTGAGGCACAGTGGCCCCTCCCAGTACCCACGCAGGCTTCCAGATGTTTCATGAGTGTAAAGCAGACATGGGGTAGCTGCCACTGTTAGAGGTCACCACTTGGTTTCTTTCAGACAACAGGATAAACTGGGGGCTGGCCTACAAGCCTGGGAATAAGAACCTTTGCCGTGCTATTCTGTCTAAAGAGGCAAGCACTCTACCACTAAGACACATTCCCAGCCCTAATTACTTAGTTTTAATTATACATTTTATTTAAATCAGTGCACTTAAAATATCTTTTTCCCGGGCTGGGAAGGTGGCTCAGTGGTAGAGCGCTTGCCTTGCATGCCTGAGGCCCTGGGTTCAATTCCTCAGCACCACATAAAGCAAAATGAAAAAAGCCGGAAGTGGCGCTGTGGCTCAAGTGGTAGAGTGCTAGCCTTGAGCTGAAGAGCTGAGGGACAGCGCCCAGGCCCAGAGTTCAGGCCCCACGACCGGACCAAAAAAAAAAAAATATATCTTTTTCCCTCCTGTGGTTCTGGGAGTGGAACCTAGGGCCTCACATATGCCAAGTAAGCCCCTTGTCACTGAGCTGTAAAATCCAACCATCAAATATTGTCAGTGACAGGACACGTCCATGAGCCGGGCACCAGCAATCACCTATCATCCCAGCTACTTAGGAGGCTGAGATCTGCAGATTGCAGTTCAAAGCCAGTCTGGGTAGGAAAGTTCATGAGACTCTTATCTCCATGAATCACACATACACACAAAAAACCCAGAAGTGGTCTGTGGCTCAAAGTGGTAGAGTGCTAGCCTTGAGCCAAAGAGAGCTCAGGGATAGTGCCCAGGCCTTGAGTTCAAACCCCAGGACTGCCCCTCCCCCCTACACACACACAATCTATGAGGCAGTTTTAAAAAAAAGAATATTTTTTATTTTATTTTATTTTATTTTTTTGTGGGGGCTTGAACTCAGAGTTAAGGTGCTGTCCCTGAGCCTTTTTTTTTTTTTTTTTGTCAGTTGTGGGGCCTGAACTCTGGGTCTGGGCGCTGTCCCTCAGCTCTTCAGCTCAAGGCGAGCGCTCTACCACTTGAGCTACAGCGCCACTTCCGGTTTTCTGGTGGTTTATTGGAGATAGGAGTCTCACAGTCTCTCCTGCCCGGGCTGGCTTTGAACCGTGATCCTCCGATCTCAGCCTCCTGAGTAGCTAGGATTACAGGCATGAGCTACTGGCAATCTGCTTATATTCTTTTTTTCATAGTATCATTTGAAATCCAGAGTGCATTTTACATTTTCTGTACATATTGATTCAGATACTAAATTTGTCATTGGAAAGACTTGATTTATGTTTAAATTCATGACAATTCTAGTTGGAAGAACAGACTCACTCACACACCCAAACTATACGTAAATTTTTTTTCTTTTTTTTTTCCCAGTCCTCGGTCAGGCTTGAACTCAGGGCCTGGGCACTGTCCCTGACCTTCTTTTGCTCAAAGCTACCACTTTGAGCCACAGTGCTACTTCCAGCTTTTTCTGTTTATGTGGTACTACTGAGGATTCAAACCTAGTGCTTCATGCATGCTAGGTAAGCACTCTACCATTAAGCCTTATTCCCAGCCCCTGTAAATATTCTTTTTTTTTTTTTTTTTTTTTGGGTCCGGTTGTGGGGCCTGAACTCTGGGCCTGGGCGCTGTCCCTCAGCTCTTCAGCTCAAGGCTAGCGCTCTACCACTTGAGCCACAGCACCACTTCCGGCTTTTTTCTTTTTGCTTATGTGGTGCTGAGGAATCGAACTCAGGGCCTCAGGCATGCAAGGCAAGCGCTCTACCATTGAGCCACCTTCCCAGCCCCCTGTAAATATTCTTAAAAGTTTTCAGCCAGGCTCCAGTGGCTCACAACTGTAATCCTAGCTACTCAGGAGGCTGAGATCTGAGGATTGTGGTTCAAAGCCAGCCCAGGCAGGAAAGTCCATGAAACTCTTATCTCTAATAAACCACCAGAAAACCAGAAGTGGTGCTGTGGCCCAAGTGGTAGAGTGCTCGCTTTGAGCTGAAGAGCTGAGGGGATAGTGCCCAGGCCCAGAGTTTAAGCCCCACGACAAAAAAAAAAAAGCTTTACACTAACTGAAATCACACATTTCTCCTCACTCCCCATGTCTACAATGACCACAGTTCACTTTTCAGAAGAACCGATTAGACCCACGTTGAGTCAGTCACTAACTCTGGGTCACTTTGGTATTATATGTACTGATTCAGAGGGTGGTACATGAATTGAAACACACCTGTCAGTATTAAGTTTTCTCCTGTGGCCATAGTTCAGTAATACCCTCATGTGGCCCATAGTGGCAGTTCTTAAACTTGCCCACAGTCCCTGCTACCTGCTCTCCCCAGTCCTCCCATGATGAGTGTGTAGAAACCTCAGCAGATGTGCAGGAGCCATCATCTTGCCCTGGAAACACCTGGCCTGCTGCCCCCTCCTCTCGCAGGTGTGTGCGACAGGTGTGTGCACCGCTTCGACCATCACTGTGTCTGGGTGAATAACTGCATTGGCGCCTGGAACACCAGGTACTTCCTCACCTACCTCTTGACGCTGACAGTGTCTGCTGCCACCATAGCTGCCGTGAGTGCTGCATTTCTGGTCCACCTGGTGATGGTGTCCGATCTGTACCAAGAAATGTACCATGATGACCTTGGACGCCTCCAGGAGATGGACTTTGTCTTGATTATTCAGGTAATGATACAGAGGACTTCAGGTTTCAGAATGCGATAAAAAATGTTTACTCTCCTGTAAATGTATGATGCTTTTCCTTTTTTTGTGTGTGTGGGTTCTGGGACTTGAAGAGTGCTATCTGTCCCTTTTTGGCTCAAAGCTGCTGTCCTACTTTTTTTTTTTCTTTTTTTGTCGGTCATGGGGCTTGAACTCTGGGCCTGGCCGTTGTCCCTCAGCTCTTCAGCTCAAGGCGAGCACTCTACCGCTTGAGCCACAGCGCCACTTCTGGTTTTCTAACAGTTTATTGGAGATAAGAGTTTCACTGACTTTCCTGCCTGGGCTGGTTTTGAACCAGGATTCTCAGATCTCAGCCTCCTGAGTAGCTAGGATTTCAGGCGTGAGCCACCGGCGCCCGGCAAAACTGGTGTTCTATTACCCAAGCCACAGTTCCACTTCTGGCTTTTAAAAACATTTCATTCATTTATTTCATCATCATCATCATTGTCATCATCATTATCATTATTATTGCCTGTCTTTGGGCTTGAACTCCGGGCCTGGGTGATATCTCTGAACTTGAACTCTGGGCCTGGGCACTGTCCCTCAGCTCTTCAGATCACAGCGAGGGCTTTACCACTTTGAACCACAGTGCACTTCCGGTTTTCTGAGTGGTTTATTGGAGATAAAAGTCTCACGGATTTTGCTGCCCGGGCTGTCTTTGAACAGAGATCCTCACATTTCATCCTCTTGAGTAGCTAGGATTACAGGTGTGAGCCACCAGCGCCCCTGCTATTCATTTACTTTTTTACTTTTTTCTTTTTTGAGACTGAGTCTCTTTTCCTCCAACCTGCCCTCAGCTGAAGGCTATTTTCTTTTCTTAGCATGATTACAGCTGGGCGGTGGTGGCTCACACCTGTAATCCTAGCTACTCACGAGGCTGAGATCTGAGGATCATGGTTCAAAGCCAACCTAGGCAGGAAAGTCCATGAGACTCTTATCTCCAGTTAACCACTAGAAAACCAGAAGTGGTGCTGTAGCTCAAGTGGTAGATTGCTAACCTTGAGCTGAAGAGTTGAGGGACAGCGCCCAGGCCCAGAATTCAAGCCCCACGACCCACAGACAAACAAAAAAAACTCACATGATTACACACATACACATATCATTTAGTCCTAAAGCCAATATCTTTTCATCTCTTATTTGAAAGTAAATATAGATTTAAAGAAGCATGCAGGAAGGCTCACATGCTTCTTTTTTTTTTTTTTTTTTGCCAGTCCTATGGCTTGAACTCAGGGCCTGGGCACTGTACTTCAGCTTCTTATGCTCAAGGTGAGCACTCTACTACTTGAGCCACAACGCCATTTCCACCTTTTTCTGTTTATGTGGTACTGAGGTTTCAAAACCAGGGCTTGTACATGCTAGGCAAACACTCTACCACTGAGCCTCATTCCCAATGCAGGCTCACACATTTCTAATGTTCTCACGTGCTAATGTCTTGTACAACTACAGTTCAGTGTCAAAACTATGAAAGCTGTGTGACATAATGGTGTTATATAGGTATACACCAACTACACCAAAGACATAATAGAAAAAATACTGTCGAGGCCAGCTATGAGAATGACAAGATCTTATTTTAAAAGGAAACTAAAAACAAAAGAAAAGGGGCTATGGATCTAGCAAGTATAAGGACCCAAGTTCAATTCCCAGTCCCCCCCAAAAATGTTGTTTTTTTGGTTGGTCATGGGACCTGAACTCGGCTTAGGCTCAGCTCTTCAGCTCAAGGCTAATACCCTAGGACTTGAGCCACAGCAATACTTCCGATTTTTTCTGTTTATTTGGTGCTGAGGAATTGAACCCAGTGCCTCATGCATGCAAGGGAAGCACTCTACCACTGAGCCACCTTCCCAGCCCCCCCCCCCTCCAAATGCTTAAAAACTCCATAGCACAAAGTTCTTTTCTTTCTTTTTTTTTTTTTTGACAGACCTGGGGCTTAGAATTCTACATGGTGGCAGGCAGATTCACGTTGCACTAGTTACATGTGCTCATAGGCTTTTGTGCACCTGTCTGTCTGCACACTTCTGCACAGCTTAGCTGCCATTGCCATCAAGATGCTGAACTGCTTCCACTGGACTCCTCCCTCTCCCCACTGTGAACACCTGCCCACTGCTGATCTTCCCATCCCTGTTCTTTCATAAATAAGAATCTCATGCCAGGTGCTGGTGGCTCATACCTATAATCCTACCGACTCAAGAGACTGAGATTTGAGGATTGCAGTTTATAGCCAGACCATATAGGAAACTCCATGAGACTCTTATCTCCAATAAACTACTCAAAAAAGCTGGAAGTGGAGCCATGGCTCAAGTGGTAGAGTGCTCACCTTGAGTAAAAGAAGCTCAGAGACAGTGCCCAGGCCCTGAATTCTAAGTCCCATTATTATTATTTAAAAATTTTTATTATAAAAATAAAAAAGAATTTTGTGCTATGGAGCTTTTAAACATTTTTGTGGGGGGCGGGGACTGGGAATTGAACTTGGGTCCTTATACTTGCTGGACAGCGGCTTTACCCTTGACCCAATAGCCCCTTTTCTTTTGTTTTTAGTTTCCTTTTTAAATAGGATCTTGTTCTCATAGCTGGCCTAGACAATATTTTTTTCTATTTATGTCTTTGGTGTAGTTGGTATATACCTATATATCACCACTATGTCGCACAGCTTTGATTGGTTGAGATGGGGTTGTGCCAGTTTGTGTGTGTGCATGTGTGTGTATGTGTGTGCCTAAGCTAGCCTGTAACTACACTCTCCCTGATTTCTGTCTTCTGAGTAGCAGGGATTACAGGTGTGAGCCACCTTGCTTAGCTGAGATTAGCTTTTTTCACTTTTTTCCCTTGAAATTCACATGTTGTTGCACACAGCAGTAGTCGATCCTTTCTATTGTCTTCGGTGTTCCAAGTGTGGATGTACTAGGTAGTTTAACCCTCTACTGTTAGAAGGACATTTGGGTAGTGTTGCTGTGAACATCTGTTTCTAAATTCCTCCATGAAAACCAGTCTTGAGAGTAATTGTTGGGTTGTAGGATTTGAAAAGGACTTGCAATCGCATTGTTTTACACCCACTAGCAGTGTGGGTGACCTCACTCTCCCACATCCTTACCAGCATGATAGTGCTAGATTGATAGCCATTCTGGAGACAGTTGGGACTAAGTGTGGTGGTTTAGGCTGTCACCCTGGCATTTGGGGAGGCTGAGCTATGATGGTCACTGGTTCCAGGTCAGCCTGGGACACCCAGTTAGACTGTCTCAAAAAGGAGAGAAGGGAAGTGGAGCTACGGCTCAAATAATAAAGTGCTAGCCTTGAGCAAAAGAAGCTCAGGGACAGCACCCAGGCCTTTAAGTCCCAGGACTAGCACAAATACAAAAACAAACAATTTGCAGGGAAATGGATGGAGCTAGAAGGAATCATGTTGAGCGAGGTTAGCCAAGAACGAAGAGACAAACGGTACATGGTCTCCCTGATAAAGTGGATGCTAAATCTAAAATGTTAGGTGATATGACAAAACTAACAGGACTTAAGAAACAATGAACTCCCACTCATCTGGTTGAACCACTACTAAATATCCCCATGCTGCTGATCACATATATGGTATATAACATGTGAACACCGTTATATATTACAGACTGTGATAGACAGTTTGCTCCAGGAAAGTTAGAATGAACTTGTGACTTTAAATGAGCATCATTATTCCACAATACTGTGAATTTCCGGAAATTATGTAATCACTTAATCACAATCAAATAAAAAAAGAACCTGGGGAAGGGAGGGAGGGAGGGGATGGTAGGGGGAAAACAATGGAGGGGGTAACAATGTTCAAGAGGAAGTGTACTCATTACCTCACTCATGCAACTGTAACCCTCTGTGTAGTATCTTTACAATGAAACAATCAAACAAACAAAAAGGGCTGGGAAGGTGGCTCAGTGGTAGAGCGCTTGCCTTGCATGCATGAGGCCCTGGGTTCGATTCCTCAGCACCACATAACCAAAAAGAAAAAAGCCGGAAGTGGCGCTATGGCTCAAGTGGTAGAGCGCTAGCCTTGAGCTGAACTGCTGAGGGACAGCGGGTAAGCCGAGTTCAGACCCCATGGCCGGACCCAAAAAAAAAAGAAAAAGAAAAAAAGAAAGACAAGAAAAAAAGAAAAAGAAAAAAGGAGAGAAGTTGCTAGGCAACAGTGGTTCATGCCTGTAATCCTAGCTACTCAGAAGGCTGAGATCTGAGGACCATGGTTCAAAGCCATCTCTGGCAGGAAAGTCCATGAGACTTTTTTTGGGGGGAGGCGGGGCAGGATTAGGGCTGGTGGGTGCTGTCCCTGTGGGTCCACTTCCTAACCTGTGTGTTTTCTTTGCCTCTAGTACCTGTTCCTGAGCTTTCCAAGGATCGTTTTCTTGCTGGGCTTCGTCCTGGTGCTGAGCTTCCTCCTGGGGGGCTATTTGTGCTTTGTGATATACTTGGCTGCCACCAATCAGACCACCAATGAGTGGTACAGAGGTGACTGGACCTGGTGTCAACACTGCCCCCTTGTGGCCAGATCCCAATCAGCAGATCCCAAAGTCTATAGGAACATTCACTCCCGAGGGCTTTGGAGCAACCTTGGAGAGATCTTTCTACCTGCCCTCCCCTATTACCAGAAAAAGAAGAAATAGAATGGAGAGATTGTTACTACTGTTTAAATACAGTATATATTCATTGTTTCGGATTCTGCTGTGTATGTAGAAATGGGCTTCCAGCTGGGGAGGGAGAGAAGGGAAAACCTGGGCTCACTGGGTATCTAGGCTTCACACGGTGCTGTATTTGTCATCTGCTGGAATGGAGCACCGGGAGGTCCAGGTATGGGGGGGGAGGTCTACAGCAGACTTGTCCAAGGCCCCAGCTACCAAGGAGACCTTGGTGTTTCACTGCATACCCGAACCTGGACAAGGAGAGCCTTTTAGCCATGTCCCCTAGAGTGCAAGAGGGTTGCAGTGACTCAACATTTTGGATTATGCCTGGCTTTACCCTCATTTTATGCCATTCCCTGGTCTATACCCCTCTGCCAGAGGATTTTCGTGATCTTAACCTCACCCTCATTCACTCCTGCCCTGGCTGGTTGCTTGCTTTAACTTTAATCAATTTTCCTGCCCTGTCGAAAAATTCTGAAGTGAGAGTGCCATCTAGTTCAGTGCAGAAAGGAGGTGGTATAAATACTGAGGTCTGTAGGGTGGCCTGGTGTCCCAGAGAGGAACTTGGCGGCCTGTGACCTTGCAAGCTACGAAAATGCCCATGGCCCTCCAGGGCTAGCGGGCCAAGGGTCAGCAGCCAGAGAGGCCAGGCCTCCGGAGAGAACTTGGAGATGGGTGTCCTGGAAAGGAAGTAGGAACGGGGGCAGGGAGCCCATGGCTTCCCCAAAGGATGCAACTTCAATGGCTGGAGCCCGGAGAGCCCCAAAGTTCGCTGGCTCCAAGCCGAGGTCCTGCGCCCTTGCCCCGTCCCAACAGGTGGAAAGCACGGTGGAGGCTCTGAGCGCGGTGACCGCAGGCCAGGGCGCCTCCAGGGGTAGCCATGGGGGGGCGCCGGACCCGGCCGCGTGCGTCCCCGCGGCCTGGCGGGGCGGGGCCTACCTGCGGCGGGGCGGGGCCGACCTCTGACACACCGCCTCCCGCCCGGCCGTGCCGCCAGGGGGCGCCCTCCGGAGAGCGCGAGGCCGCAGCCTGCGCTTGGCCTCTGCGGGCCGCCGTCGCTCGCCCGGCATTCGGCCGCCGTTCGGCTGCGCGGCGTCGGCTCCCGCAGCTCTGGGCGGCGCCGCAGTCGGACCCCGGGCGCCCGCTGGCCGCCAGCGGCGGCGGCGGCGGCGGCGGCGGCGAGGGCCTCGCGAGCGGGCCCGCATCAGGTAGCGGCGGGAAGACGGGCGGGCGCCGCGACTCAGCCCGCCGTGTCGGGGCGGAGCCCAGGCCGCGCCTCTTTGTCTCCCCCGCAGGCGGCGGTGGCGGCGGCGGCGGCGGCGGCGGCGGCGGCGGCGCGCGTCCCCGGCCGCCGGGGCGGAAGTGGACGCGCGGGGCGCCGGGCCGCGGCGGCGGCCGCACCATGAGCGACATCCGGCACTCGCTGCTGCGCCGCGACGCGCTGAGCGCCGCCAAGGAGGTGCTGTACCACCTGGACATCTACTTCAGCGGGCAGCTGCAGAGTGCGCCGCTGCCGCTCGTGGACAAGGGCCCCGTGGAGCTGCTGGAGGAGTTCGTGTTCCAGGTGCCCAAGGAGCGCGGAGCGCAGCCCAAGGTGCCCGGCCCCGCCGCGCCCCTCCCCTCTGCCGCCGGGGCGCTCCCTCAGCCCGGCTCCCGACTCATTCTCCCCACGCTCACGCCCGTCCCTGCCCCGCGGCCCTGGGGCATCGCTCAGCCCATGCACCCCCTGCCCCGAGGCCTTGGAGCTTCACTCAGCCTGCCTGGTTTGCAAGCTAGTGGCAGCCTCTTCTCCTCCCCTCTCCCCCCCCTCCCCCATTGGTAGCTCTCCACTGAGACATTTTAGGAATTGCTTACCCCCCCCCCCCAAAGGCTTCTTTATCTAGAGTCGCCACCCCATGGGGCAGCCTGAACTCTTCGAAGTGACAGCTAATGTCACAGGACTTTTTCTTGATCTGCTCCCTGGGGCCTGCTCTTTTTCGGAAGGGTACGGGGTACACACTGGGGGCGGGAAAGGAATCAATCCCCTGCTTTTTTCTTTCTTCCTCTGTACTCTAACCAGCCTGTGAAAACCACACCTCTCACCGTTTCCCCCCGGGTTTGTTTTTACAGAGACTGAATTCTCTCCAAGAGCTTCAACTACTTGAAATCATGTGCAATTATTTCCAGGAGCAAACCAAGGACTCTGTGCGGCAGATTATTTTTTCATCGCTTTTCAGCCCTCAAGGGAATAAAGCTGATGACAGCCGGATGAGCTTGTTGGGGAAACTGGTCTCTATGGCTGTTGCCGTGTGCCGAATCCCAGTGTTGGAGTGTGCGGCCTCCTGGCTCCAGGTACTGCTAGCCTTCCTCCTGGTATTCCGAAGTCAAGCTTGCTTTTAGGGCTTTCCATGGAGCAGGATTCCTGGAGAGATCTTGACACAGTCTTTACAAATGCACTGTGTCACTGGGTCATTGTTGTGCTTGGTGACATCAGCACCCCAATTTTGTATACAGAATGTAAAAATCCTCACTAACAGTCGATAGTGGTAGATTAAGTCATTTAATGAAGAAAGGGCTTTAGAACAAGTGAAAAAATCCTTTTCTTAAGCAAAATAGGAATTTGAAAACAGTATGCATTCAGTCTCAAAGACAGGATTTTTCTTTTTTAAAAGATCATTGTGAGTCAGGCTAAGAGGCTCAGATCTGAGGATCATGTTTGGAAGTCAGCGCAGGCAGGAAAGTTCATGAATTTTTATTTCCAGTTAACTATCAACAAGTGGTGGCTCATGTAAGGAGAGCACCAAGCAACCTTGAGTGAAAAGGCTAAGGAACAGCACCCTGGTCCTGAGTTCAAGCCCCAGCACTGCCACACACACACACACACACACACACACACACACACACACACACACACACACACACACACACACACACACACACATAGTCAACTAATGATGATGTATATCCTTTGAAGTTGGTTTTTGTTTTTTTGGTGTGTGTGTAACACTAGTTTTAAACTCAGGGCCTTGTCCTTGCTGAGCATGTGCTGTACCACTTGAGTCAAGTTCTCTGCCCTTTTTTGCTTTATTTAATTTTCAGATAGGGTCTTGCTTTTTCTGCTAAGGCCAGCTTCATGCTGTGATCCTCCTGTTTGTTTCCCAGTAGCTGGGATTTTAGGGGTCTATTACCATGCCTAGCTTATTGGTTGAGATAGGGTCTTGCCAACTTTTTCTTCAGGCTGGCCTCCAACTTCTCTGTCTTCCCAACCAGAAGGTTGCTTTTTATACAGGTAGATCAGTAAGCATGTGGGTTGTTTTGCACAGTTTGATGGTGACATCACATAGTTGTTGGTTTCCTTATTGAATGTATGAAAGGAAAAAGTATTTATAATAGATTTAGTTTTAGAAGGTATTTTTCAAGACGTCTTTGGTTTTACTATTTTGCTATTTAAGGGTTAAAAAACAAACACTCCACACAGTAGCTATGTGGCTAATCTATTCTTTAGTGAAATTAACAGAATGTACCCTGGTCAGTGTCATAAACCTGCTTCTTGACCAAGTACTTGGAATTTTGTCTGTCTTTCCCCTCACCCCCTCTCTCTCCTCCCCTCTGTCTCTCTTTCTCTTGGTCTCCCTCTCCCTCTTCTTTTTGTGCTGACTTGAACTCAGGACTTGGGTATAATCCCTGAGCTTTTTATAAGCTCAAGGCTAGCTTTCTACCACTTGATCCACAGCTCCATTTCCAGCCTTTTGGTGATGAGTTGTAGATACATGTTTTATGGACTGCTCTGGCTGGCTTTGATTCTCAGATCTCAGTGTCCTGAGTAGCTAGGATTATAGGTGTGAGCCACTAGTACCCAGCTTTCTGTTTTTCTTACAACCTTTGTCCATATGATTATGTGTAGCCCCAATCCAGTGTCTATGGATCATTTGTGTTGTGTTTGACCTCAAGCTTGATTACCTTTCACTCCTTGGCAATTTTAGTGAAGCTGAGTTAAGCCTCTTCTAGTGTTATCATGTAATTTAAAATTTATCTCATCTGATGGTGTTGTGCTGGCATTTTGGCAACTGAAGGCAGATGACTACCAAGAAAACCATCTTCAGTAATCCTAGCTACTCAATAGGCTGAGATCTGAGGATTGTAGTTCAAAGCCAGCCTGGGCAGGAAAGACTGTGAGACTCTTATCTTGAATAAACCACCAGAAAACTGGAAGTGGTGGTGTAGCTCAAGTGGTAGAGCACTCGCTTTGAGCTGAAGAGCTGAGGGACAGTGCCTAGGCCCAGAGTTCAAGCCCCATGACCAACAAAAAAAAAAAAAAGAAAGAAAGCCATCTTCATAGCTTGAGTTTGGTCCTGTCATATGAGTTTTCTCCTGAGAGCAGCAGAGAGATCATGTTGTGATTGACTGCTCTGGTCCTGTGTGAGCAGTCAACCAGCTGCATGAGCCGGCTGTCCTTGCTGTCCTCTGTAGTCCAGTGGGTGTCCTGGAATAGCATCTTGAGCAAACCTAACCCTACCATTTTTTTCCCTAAACCATTATGAATTTGTGTGTGTAGAAGATGTGTCTCTTTAGGAACAAGGACATTTTCTTATACAACCATAATACCATCACACCTAAGAAACTTGATGGGGGGCTGGGAAGGTGGCTCAGTGGTAGAGCGCTTGCCTTGCATGCATGAGGCCCTGGGTTCGATTCCTCAGCACCACATAAGCAAAAAGAAAAAAAAAAGCTGGAAGTGGCACTGTGGCTCAAGTGGTAGAGTGCTAGCCTTGAGCTGAAGAGTTGAGGGACAGCGCCCAGGCCAAGAGTTCAGGGCCCACGACCAGACCCAAAAAAAAAAAAAAGAAACTTAATGGTCATGGAATACAGTTATCTATGATACAGCCTGTATTCAGATTTCCCTAATTGTCTCCATATTGCTTTTTTTCTTTTGCAGTACATTATCTGCTAGGTAGTTGTTCTATTTGCCACTGTTGAGCACAGCCACAGCTAGTAATAGTTACACAGGTGGGAAGGAATAGATGGGAGGGGGGTGACGCATGACCTGGAAGTATTATAG